CTTGAATAATTTATTCTTAATTACAATTATATGTATTACAAGTATAATGAAAATGAGTACCTTTCATTTCCGTAAGATTGGACACTAAAGAATTTCCTTCGATTGTATTGTGCATTGACAAACGTTGATTGTACTCTTTGTCTGTTGGTATAACAACGATCGCTTTCCGCTGATAGCCGCAGAAATTTCGCATTTTACGCCTTTGTACAGAGGAATATATGTTGCTCTTCTGCATATATATTACAGGATTGTTTGAAAAACAATATTTAGATTTCACAATTTAATTATTTAAATACTTATGTTTTTTTTTCGCACACATACCTGATCTAATATATAGTTACGTCTTCTATCACTTGCTACGTTGATCAGTTGATCGAGTGCGCGATTGCATCTGTCGATAATAATTTCTCGCTGACAGATGTTTTGCTCTTTATCTAACAGAGCAACGTCCTGAATAGAAAGAAAACATTGCATTCAGAACAAACACTATCAAACTTGATCATTTTTTATAATTTTATGGATACATACCCCAGTTTTCTCAACCAATTTATGGACTGCTAAAATATTGTATAGTTTATCTGGATGGTCAGCCGCGTGCTTTCTTGCCCAGGTAGTTTTTCCCGCCGTGGGCAAACCACACATCATTATCACCTCGCAATCTGCCTTTCCATTTGGCCTACGTGGACCCGCAACTCTGTTCTTAGATTCGGCATTACCCACTAAAATATAGCCTGGGATTTGTTCACACCATGCCTCCTCTTGACCAAAATTGCAGACAAACGTACAGTTTTTACTCAGAATGTGTGGAAACAATGGTCTATCACCAAGTTCTTCTTTGCAGATACTAAATGCAGATCCAACGTTTTTACCATTTACCGTGTAAAACAATTCTATAGTGTTCTCAGGTGTCATATCAAGATAACATCCAACAACGTCGTCCTTGCCGAATGGAGAACCGTAATCTGTGAACTTCTTGTCAGTACCCTGTTTTCCAGCACTTGTATACGCATAACTTAATTTTTCCTCGCCAAGTTGCATGGATGTAGAGGGTACTGACCAACCAATTCTAAGCATATGTGATTGTTTCTTGTCTTTTGTGGTAGTAGGATAGTGTTGTACAATTCTGGCTTCATAATAGACTTTTCCATTTGAAACACCATGAGACGCTCTTGCACCAGCCCACATATCACAGAGATCACCATCATGCATAGGTGTACCAGAGAGAAATCCATCTTTATTAATAACTAAATTCAAATCTGAATCATCTAAGAATAAAAAAGTATTTATAATATCACATATATATTAAAAAAGAATTACTAATCTCAAAAAATACAAGATTTAATTAAAAAAACTTACACCATGATAAAATTACAGTTGACTCGTCAAGATCTGGTTCATCCTCTGATTTCTGTGGCACAGGAGATAGTTGACGTACTTCTGCTGGACTAGAGGATCTTTTTCTTTTCCTGTCATTGCATTCCATTTGATTGGATTCTCCTGCATCTAATGTTGCTTTTTGCTTTAAAAAAATAGTTTTCAGCTATTTTTATGTTCTTTCACGCAAATAAAAATAAAAATGTATGATTACAAATAAGATTAAATTTACAGAGGCAATTCTTACATATTGTTACAAGCTACTTGTGCTATTTGTAATGAAACAAACATATAGAGTATAAATTATATACCTGTTTATCTTGTAAGATATTAATAGTATCAATTTTTTCATCTAAATTTTCTACATTAGCTGAAATGTCCATTTTTTTATCTTGTACTGTATAATCATCATGAATAGTCTCTTCTTCGTGCTTTAATTCACATGTTTTATCTGTCTGATCAGGTATTATATGTGTTGGCTGTTCAACTTCCGGAATGTCTATATTATCCTTAATATTAGATCCATCTTCTTTACGTTCAACATGTTCTTTCTCAATTGAAATTTTATCTTTATCTTTAATTTCTGTTTTTTCTTCCAATTTTGTAATATCCTTTGTTTCTTCAGCTAGCTGTTGAACTTTACCAACTTCATCTATACTAGATCCTGCTTCATGAGCTTCTTGAATTATAGAAAATTGATCTACACAGGCAATTGTACTAGGTTTGTCAGACGGTTCTGTCACAGGTACTTGGAAAATATTTGCTTGATTACCTTCTAAAATATTAACACATTTTGCCTCTTCTTCCTCATATTTATCAGATGAATGAATTTTGTTCTGAAGGATATTTGATGCATCATCTTCTTGCTCTTCTCTATACTTTTCAGGAGACAATTTTGATATTTCCTGTTGTTGGGTTATGGCTTCTTCATTCGTCGTTGGTGTCTCATATGCTTTCTCATCATACTGAGATTTGTTCGGAGTAGATTGTTTTGAAGAATTTGGCGTAGTAGATGCTCTCGATGCGTTTCTCGTGGATATTTTTGTTGGAGTCGTCACCGAGGAGCTCCTAGATGCTCTATTAGGCGTCCGTGGTGATTGCGACGATCGTGTAGCTTCTACGACTCTCTCTTGTGTCTCTTTCAAAGCAGTATCATCAATATTCTCTGTTTGCGAATCTGAACCACCTACAAAATAAATTAAAATATATTTTATAATTTTGTACCATCTCGTTAAATAGAATGTTGGATAAAAATAAACCTAAAACTAAAAAATTTTAAACATTAACATAATAAACAAACAAAAAATACGACACCATATCAGATGACATTTCAACATAACGTTTAAATAAGGGAACATAGTTTGAGCACATTAGTCAATTTCATTATCAGCTACATCTTATAACGTTACATGGTGTATAGTAGTCACAATGGTGATAGGTGATTGTGATTGTCATAACCAGGATTCCATTGTAATGCATGGTAATGGTATATGAGAAATTAGTAAGAGTAATTGAAATAAGAGCAAGTACGAGATGATGAAGAGAAGTACTTGATGATGCACACCAAGTACAACTTACACTCCTGCGCTTCTTCCTCCAGTGCCTTGCGTAGCCGCTCGACGAGCACTGGCTTGTTGCCCTTGGTGTCGAGGCCGCGTTCGCTCAGTGCGGCTCGCAACTCCACTACTTTCAATTTCGACGGATCCATCATGCACGCGCGATAGGCCCCGTTAATCAGACAGGTAAATTCATGCACACCTTACGTTTGACGCGTAAGAGAAAATTGGAGAAAATATTCACGAAAGACCCATATACACGCGCCACTGACCCGCGCTCCATACACAATATGGCGGAACAGTCACAAACAGTTGGTTACGTAGCGCGCGCTCTAATTATTGGCTGGCCACACGGCCGTGTCCGAACCGACGCCGGCTATATGGCCAATCGCAGCCGCTGTTTCAACCGCGATAAACTGCGGCGCGTTCGGCGATTGGTTCACTCCAAGGCGGGATGCGCGACCATTCGCTGATGCATATATGCTACATAAATACATACATACATACACACACCGCTTCTTCTCTGGAGTTATTAAAGAGCATACCTGCCATTCTACACACATACATATGTACACATATGTATGTATACTTGCTTATTCATTTCACTCACTGCTATTTTTAATGGAAATTTTAGAGAATGATTAAATCACCACATAAAAAAGACTCGCGTTATTATGACGCATTATTATGACGTTTATTGTAATAATTGCAATAACGGTAGCTTAATAACGTCACGACTAAAAAATTTAAATTACTTATTTTCAGCCAATGAGAAGCATTTTTTTTAACGCGACGCTCAACGTATAGTTCTAATTGGCTGTTATATTTAGTGCCGTTTTCATGAAAGATCGGTTGATGTACATACACGATCGATAATACATACAGATATTTATCATATGATCGATTGAGTGATTAAATTTTTAAACTCTCGCAATGCAAAGTAATTATGTTCTACATACAAAGTTGTATGGAATTTTGCATTCTGTTATAATGCATTCGAATACATTTTATCGCTTTTTATTCCGTAGTGAAATCGAAGAAGCATGAATGCGATTAATATGAACTGGTTAGCTTCAGCAGAAGGAGAATCTTTGATCCATCATTTCTACGTAAATTCTTCTAAAAAAAGAAGATTTTATGGTGCTCTATCTGTTTGTGTAACCTATTATATAATATATGTACACGGACATTAATTTTCTTCCCATTTTACTATTTTCATATATTTTACAGGTATTCTGGAGAAGCCATTGTTGCCTTCTTCCATCGAGGAAGTCACTTACAAGATCTTTATGATAGGTAGATCTGGCGTTGGAAAGACTTCAGTAATAGCAAGACTCGCAGGTATCCTCGACTCTAACATTTATACCGAAACCAATGGAATAAGGAAAACAAACATTTATTGGCCTGTAAAAATTTGGGATAAAGTCGTTCTGTTTAAACTGCAATTTTGGGATACCTCGGAAAATAGTATAAAAAAATATAATCACATTTTGCCAGTATGTGTATAAATTCTTCTTTGATAATTATGTGTTCAATTAATTAAACAGATATTAATTAGACAATATTTTTTTTTCACTTGCAGGTATGCAAAGATAAAGTTGATGCGGTATGTTCTGTGTTTTCCTTCGATGATGCAGCAAGCTTCAATGATATTCCATACTTGATGAATACAATGATCAATATAAAAGGAAAACCAGCAAACATAGTCATTGGCACAAAGTAGTACATTATTCGATAATCATATTACAAAATGAAAAGGATTCAGATAATTCTGATTTGACTTTTTACAGGTTCAAACCTTGGTCAAGTTCTATGATAGATGAAGCACAAATTAAAGAATTCGAGGATAAGTGGAAAGTTAAAGTGATTAAAATTGATGCCAGCAAATTGTCAGTAAGATCTGAAATATTTGATTGCTCGTATCAATTGAATATTATTTGTAACATCTTGTGGAATAGAGATAAAGAATTTATATCTAAACTAATGGGACAAGTTTAATAAGTACATCATATGTATTTTTTGTATGATTTATACAAAATAAAAGTACAAAAAAAGGATATAAATCAATCATGCAAACAATGATAAATAATTTATTAAGACCATATATGTGAATACACGACAAATAAGAGTTTAAAGCCTGAACAATCAAAGCTGGACCTTAGATGCTTAAATAATTTCTATATGAATTTATATATCAAATGTGTCGTAATTTGAACTGCCGAATTATCGGACTTATAAACGCAATAATAAACTTAATAATATCATGAATTAATCTTATCAATCATAAATTTATTTAAATCTTAGATTTTGTTTGCTGTATCCTCAATCACATAGAGTTGTAAGTTTAAACAATCTGTTTTGATGTCCTTTAATGGCAGTAGATTTTTATTGATCATTTCTACTGCATCATCTTTAATAATCCATGGAAAATCTTCACATTTTGGATTTTCGCTCAGAGTAACATATGCAGTTTCATATGTTTGAATTTCAATAGAAAAAGTTGAATTGTCTGGAATAGCTCTTAAATATGTATCACACATTGATAATTTTAAGCAAATTGTTTTTAGTGCTTCTTCTGTTTTTAAATAATATGGATCTCTCCTTAAAATAGAAAAGAATAATTAATAATAGTAATATATAAAAATTAAATAATGTATTAGTTATTGTTCAACATACTCCATAAACTCTGCTTGTAGTTTAACCATATCAAAGACAAATTTTTCTATTGGTGACTTGTTCTTGTTGTAGAAAGTAAGATTAATGGCTCTAATACTGTTTTCATCTTCCTTTATCAATTCTCTGATTGCATTCAGAACATTTGATAAATATTCATTCAATTCTGGATGTTCTGATACATATACCGTAATTCCGTATATTTTTTTCTTAACAAAAATTTCCTTAGGATAGATTTTGCGAAAGAATAATATGTGATTAAACGCTACTTCCAAAAATTCCAAGAGAATGTCAACACCAACTGCAAGTAAATTTTATTTATTTTCACACATGAAATTTCACACATATTAACTACTGTAGATAAGTTGTATGGTATAAAAATAAGTTTAATTGTGAAACTCTACCTATCTTATCTTGAGACATTTTATAATGAAAATAATTGTCATGCTGTTTATTAAAAAATATATATCTATATATACATTAAATATATATTCTCCTATCTCTTTCTTGATCACCTCACTGTATAAATATTAAGCTGGCGATACACCGAATACTTGTTTTCTTACTGGATTGCACTGGATTGCTAGTGATTGCTAGCTAGAGAGAAATCTGTGGACATGAGGAGGGGGGGGGGGGGCCTAAATGCCTTGCGCACTACCGCCCTCTGAAGAAGTGGATGTCAACTATACAACAATATTCACTTTTTTGCGGTGTTCCTGATGAAAATAAATCGCTGAAATACTTAACTAAAATTTGTTAAATTAATAGAGATTTTAACGATTTTAGAGATTTATTTTCATGAGGGACACAGCAAAAAAAATTAATACTGCTATGTAGTTTACATCCACCATCTTCAGATATAGTGCTTGGAGGCATTTTGCGGGTTATAAGAAAAAGGCCCTCATCTCTCACAATATACTATCGGTACTAGAAAAGAATACATTTTACTTACAAAATAAACCATGTATTTCAATCAAAATACATGTATATTTTGTTATATTATCATCAATATCTATTAACCATATATAATAAATATGTATAATATTAATAAATATCTATTAACCAAATTTATAATTAGCATAAATTTCGCGGAATATGTCGCGACATTTGATTTTCGTTCCAAGTTTTGCACATAACAAAAATATTCCAGATAATTTTCTATGTAAACTATATATTTCTTCGGGTGGTGGACATAATCTATGATTTATTATAGTTGGCACTAAAACTTGGATTCTGCAATACATAATTATTATATATATTATAGCCATTATAGGATGAACACAGAAATAGGTTGAACATACCGTTTTGTTACATCTTGACCACCAAAATCATAATACTCATGATTATTGTCAAATACTTGTCCAAGAATCATGACTGCATCTACATGAGCATCCTCCATGATCTGATAATGTAACAATTTTTGTTCAATTAAAACTCTATATATATATATATATATATATTGGGTCATCTAAAAAGTATCCGCGGTTTTTTGTCACTAGATGTGTGTTGATGGTCATATATCTAGTACCGCAAAAGTACCGCGGATACTTTTTAGATGACTCAATATATACATACATAACTATATATACTCTATATATATATAAATTTTTAAAAACTAATATTTTTTAAACATTTTTTGAGGTTGCTTAATAAAAAAAGATAAGATACCTTGGACTCATATCCAGTAAGAAACTTCATCTCTTGAGATAATTGTAGTACCTTATTGCGATTTCCTTCACTTGCAGCATTAATGATTTCTATATATTTATCCATAAATATTTTGTCATATGTTCTACATGCTCCGAAGTCCAGTAAAATTAACTACAAGATGTATCTGTTAATATTCTTTCATGATTAAATTACAAATATTAGGTGTTGGAATTAATTCGTAGCGTTTTTAATGAAAGAATGTTATTTATTTCACATGAGCATTAAAAAATACATTAATGAAAGTACTTCCCATCACTTGTAAAACGCTACGAATTAATTCCAACACCTAATACATAACTACGATATAAAAAAAAAACCTGTTTTGTATCAAGATTGTAAAAAAAGTTGGACCAATTTGGATCAGTCTGCATGTATCGAAATTCGAATAATTCTTTTAGACTCAGACGCATGAGTAGTTCACTTATATATTCCTTAATTGTAATATCCATATCTATACATTTGTCAACAGGTATACCTTCTATCATCTCTGTTGTAAATACTTGTTTTGTAGACAGATCGTCTAGAAATTTAATTCATATTATATATAAAAAATTGATTCCGTACATCTTTTTTTTATTTACCTATATTACTTACCTATTACTGTAGGCACATAATATTCTGGATAAGGCATTATTAACTTCTTATATTTTTTCGTACACTCTGCTTCCCTTGTATAATCCACTTCCCATGCCAGTTCCCGTTTCGCAACCTCCACTACATTATCTATAAACATTCCCTCTGGAAACATATTCCACACCTGCAATGAACACACACACACACACACACACACATATATACTATATTTATAATAAAGTTTACACAGTAGTTTTTTGCAGGATACACATAATAATGATCTGTGATATTATTACCTTCATTATGCCTACTAAATTTTCAATATCACTCTGAATACCCATAGCTACACCAGGATACTGAATTTTTATCGCTACATCTTGTTTATTCAATAATGTACCATGATGAACTTGTCCTAGGATATATTATATAATTACAAGAAATTTCTTAATCTTAGTATATATATAAATGTGAAAAGTAACAAATCAATATATACCAATAGATGCTGCAGCAAATGGCTTTTCTTCAAAGAACGCCAATTTATTTCTCCAATTATGTCCAAGTTCATTAGTCAACACTTTCTAGAAGGAATTATACAACACATTAACAGATTACTTTTTAATTTGTATATTTATATCATTTTGTTACCTCTACTTGCCAAGTTGGCATAAAATCAGCACTTTGTCTGACTCTTTCAAAAATTTTCTGCAATTCGGGACTTATGATAGTATTATCTTGGATACTTAATATTTGACCAATTTTTAAAGCTGCACCTATATTTTTAATAAACTGATAAAATTTTTATACATGTATATAGATACGTAATACAATTATGTATGTCTTACCTCTTACTTTACATAACGTTGAAACTATTCTTTCTGCATTAGCTTTAGTAAGGAACATATTGTCAACTGTATCTCCAATACTATGCCCCTTTAATCCCAATGTCCTTCGTGTATATTCTGCGGCAGTACCAAGACCAAGACCGATCCCTAAAGTACCAAAACTCACCATTCTTTGCAATCTTGTAGAAGGAACTTTTTTTTCTTTAGCAGTAGGTGATAACTGTAATAGAAATTAAATAATATACTAGTTAAAATGTGAATATAAATACATATAAAGCAACTTAATAAAAATAGATAATACACGATGCAAAAAATGAAAATTTATTTTTATGATATATATACTTACACATTGCTTTGGTCTAACTGATAGTTTAGGTTTTTCTTTAGAATTCATTTCCATATGTACATTTTCCTTTTCATATGTTTTAACTGTAGAATAAGCAGAGCCTACAATCCTGTTTTTAATCTTTTTCTCATGTTCTAATTCCAATTTTCTTAAAATTTCTTTGTCTTTATCAGAGAATTCTAAGTCAGGTATTTCATCTTTATCTAAATTACTAATAGTCTTGATTTTTTCCTTTACACTCATGTATTTTTTTGTTGTATCATTTTGCATGTCTTTTAAAGACTTTTGAGTTATAGATTTGTCAATATTGTGTTTTGGTAATATGACATTTCCATCAATAGGCAATTCTTTTGGATCTTTCGCAGTGTTGTACACATATAGCTTGGTTTCTTTCTTGAGGGTATAATCATTACTTTCTATATTAAAAGTTCGATTAGTTGTTACTTTAATATATTGTTTAATACCTTTCTCAACTACACTTATACGTTCAGTTATTTCTTTCAAGTCTTTTATTATCTGTTCCTATAAAAAAAGGCAATTATATATAGAGGCAACATATGTAAGATATCATATATGTTATACTGACATATTAGTTAAATATTAATCACAAGACTTACAGGAACTTTTCTTGGCTCTGTGTTAGTTAATGTTTTTCCTACAGCTCGTAAACACTTCTCCGGTATATCTTTTAAACTGGAGTGTGTGATTCTATATCTGATTGTATCCTCCTGATGTTTTATGAAAGTATTCGTAACCCTTTGTACTCCTTTGAGTACATTAAGTAGATCGGAAGCTTTAGATCGAGGCATTTCTGAGAAATACGTGGATGTTTTTTTAACATACTATAGTTTTGATAGAACACATTTTAAAATAATAATGTGTAAAACTATATGCAGTATATGAATCCTCTATCTTCGTTTCGTAGAAGTGTAGAACATTAAGGTTAGCACAACCGAACATTAAGGTTAATACAATTTTGTATAAATTATAGCATGAAAAATACGAATTCAGTATTTTAATGTAACACTAAAAATAACTTAACGATATAGATCATAAAAAATAATTCATCTATAAATAAAACAATTATGAATAAAACCTTTCGTGCATTATTCTACAGACACGTTTCGATGCACGCTATTGTACTAGTTACTTATATGTTTCATGTGATTTCGTAATCTTAACGCGGGTATTTATAACACTGTATTGTACTTTCTTTGATTATATTATATATCGGACGTAATTCAGTAATACTATTAAAAATAATGTTTTTTATATCAATTGTAATATTTAGAATTTACATTTTTCACAGAGAAATAAGTATCTTATATATTTTTCTTTTATTAACATTTTATTGGGATCAAAATTTTTTATATATTAAAATAACATGACTAAACAAATTTTAAAAATTGTTTTATTTGCATTACATACATTTTCATTCAATTGGCGCTCTTTATATAGAACTATTTAAGAAAATTTACAGAAATTTCATAAATTCACTAACATCTTCTTACGTATGTAATGTCAATAATAATTACGAATTTGACGCGATGTTTTACGCGGATATCACACCGGATATATTCGACCATATTAAACATCACAGAAAAATTATTCTGACATAATATATTATTGCTACATATATATGTATATATGTATGTATATACATATATATATATGAATTTTTTAAGAAAATTATCTCAAGTGCCTATTATTATCTCCTTACATGTAGCTTTATATAATACAAGCTCTACACGGAACCTATATTTCTTATTTTTATATAGATATTAGATATATATACATGATTATTTTTATCTCTCGTTGTACCTTCATATCTTCATATTCTACAAACATAAAAAAATTTTTTATACATTTAACTCTAATAGCTTTGGGATGGCAACTCTAACAATCTTCTTCTGAAGAAAAGTTAGCATTAATATCTATAGATTTAATGTGACTGTTATTCTATTTCGTGAATTGTGAATCTCTCAATAAGTTAAATAATAAATTGATACATATATATCTTTATACCTGTGAAGATGTATTTTCACGATAATTGTCATCCATTTCAAGCGTATATTAATTATTAACACATACATGAACATTTACACACACATATATATATATTTAGATACAAAAATCCCCTTGGATACTGTAAAACTGATCAGACTTTCATAGGAATATATGTATTGAATTAATCACGAGTTTAAGCACTTCTGACTCTACAAACTGTTAAATATTTTAAAAACCTGATATATATCATGACAAAGTCATCTTCTCCAGTCTTTACGTTATAAGTATAGAAGAAAAGAATGTCGATTTTATATCCGGGCGGGATTAAATGACATTTGGCTGATCTGGAATAAGCGAGGCAAAAAATGAACTAAAGAAGGTCCAAGTAAAGGCAAGAGCGCCTGGACGTTGTTCTTCATTCTCTTCATTGGCATTTGTTCGTGCTTCTGGTTGCACGGTTGGCACTTGAGCGTTTTGCTGTTGCGGCACAGCTTGAGGACCTACTACTTCGTTTTGTAATACTTGATTGTTGTTGTCTGCGCGTCCGTTGTTATTTTCAGCTAATAGGATTGGCTGTACCCTAAAGAACCCACCTTGATATCTACAACGAATATCTTATGTTACATCTAATAATTTTCAGACAAGTTAAAAAAAAGCATCAAAGAAATATGTATACAGGATGTCCCGTAAGTTCTTTCCAAGCGCTTTTGTATAGATAGAATGGACTCGATTGAATCGGAAAGTCCTTTATCATTTTGCAATTTTTGCAATAGTTAACAAAATATTAATTACTAAAAATTGTTGAATATTGGTCTTCAATAATTTTTTATTCGTATACTATCAACTTTACAGAAAAACTGCAAGAGACAAAAATCATTAATTTTTTCTCATAGAACTAAGAATTTTTTCAAAATTTTTTATTACTTTTAGTACTGCATTTTCTTATTTTTACCAATATGAGAAAATACGATATTAAAAAATTCTGAAAAAATTCTCAGAAATTCTCTTTATGAGAAGAAAATAAACAATTTTTTGTCTCTTGCTGTTTTTAAATGTTCAAAAAAATAGTTCTACATAAAGAACGTCAATTGAATGAAAATGTATATAAAAGCAAATATAACAATTTTTTAAATTTGTTTTGAAAACCAATATTCGGCGATTTTTAATAATTAATATCTCGTTAACCATTGCGAAAAATGCAAAATGATACAGGATTTTTTGACTCAGTTTAGTCCTCTATCTATACAAAACCACTTGGTGAAAACTTACGACACCCTGTATATGTAAAAGAGAAATTGTGGATATCTGCATTGAGAAAAAAAAATATTAACTTTTAATAAATATTTCTTCGAAAAGTGCTAGCAGATATTTACTTACGGTAAATAAATATTTAGATAAATAAAAAAATAATAGTTTAATTAATAAATTAATGGTTTTAAAACTAATGGTATTTGTAATTAATACATAAATATGTGTTTATATTTAATAAATATTCCACTAAGACTATTTGAAGAAATATCAAAATTTGATAAATTTATTTTCAATGTATTAAAGAATATTAGAGAATTGGGACTCACAGATATATCGCAAATCCCAGAAACGTGACGATAAGGAACCTGAGTGGGGATGAATAGAAATACACTATACCAAATAGAACGACAATCCTAGACAACATGTAGAAGAAGTCCAACCAGTCGCGGTTAAATGCAGCGTCCTCGCCTGCACCATTATTTCCTGCATTGACGTCGGCTGCATCTTGAGCAACTGGTTGGGGTTGCTCATCACCAACATTGTTATTATTATTGCTCGTGTATGTATGTTGAGCCGTATCACTTGTGTTGATATTCATTTGCTGCAGGTATGGAATACTGGCTTGCAACTGTACGCCTTGTGCTGCCATTCTGAAAATAACCATATTGCAACATTTATACATTTCTTGCATCTTTAACAAACAGGACAGCTGTAAAAGACAGCTTACAATTGCATATACTGTGTAAAATAATGTGTATACGCCTGTTGCAACCAAGCTAATTGTTGACTATTTCGAGGATCAAGATACTGCTGAGATAAGTATTGTTGATGCTGAGCTGCAGTAACATTAGCATTCTCTTGACTTTGATTTTGAATAGTGTTATTTCTGATATGAGTATTTCTTGTTATAGATGCAGCGTCTACATTTCTTTCAGTTGATTGATTTTGATCCGACATAGCCTTAGCAGCGCACATTTTTTGTGGAGTACAGACTAGATGAACAGTATACGCTTGATCCTCTGAACCATCACATTGTCTCAAGACATCCTTCAATTGTGCAGAATCGTTTAATAACTGTCCGGAATAGATCAATTTCTGATGTGAACTTTCCTACAAACAACAATAATAATAACTTAGATCACTTGTGTATCTTAAAAATTTTGTAATACATACAATAATAAATAATTGTAGCATTAATATTAAAATTTTTAAGATAAATAACAAGATAAATAGAAATTTAAAAACTTTTTAGGAATTAAAATACATTTTCATAAAATATATATTATCCATAGTATTGATATATGTATCATGTAATATTATTAGTACAACAACAGGCATACAAATAAATTATATTAATAAAAATGAATAACAATTTAATACAAAGACATCACACTTTTTTAAATCATCAAATAAGCTCACAAATATTCATCTAATGATACTAATCTTTCCTTTAAAACATAACTCTTAGAGTCATTATTACAGATTACTGATAATTTTGTAAACAATTCTGGCAGAAAAAAATTTGTATGAAAAAGTACAAAAAACTTACATAGATGAGAAAAAAATCTTGGAAATTTTTAGTTTTTCATAGATATTTGTATATGTAGTAAGATGTAGAGTGGCATTGTTTGAAGGTGAAGGATTTCTAAGTTTTTTCAAACAAACAACATCACTCTACGTCCCACTACAAATATCTATGAAAAACTAATAATTAAGATTCTTGTATCTAATTAGGACGCATTTGAACATTTCGAATATCATTGTTTAAAAAGACGGTTATCTTTTCGCTCACCTTTAATGGAGCAAGGAGAAAAGAAAGACAAAATGTAAAGAGAAACACACACCCTGCTTTCACCAGGCGGAGATAATTACTTTCACGCAACTTACTGGTTTGCTGGGATAGACTTCGGACAGGTACTCCTTTAAACGACCAATAGTCCAGCCGAGATCGCATTTAACTATCTGATCCTTGATTTGTTGATTCGGTGCTTTTATTATAAGATTAACAGCGGCGTCTGCCATCCTCTCGGCGTGTCACCAGCTAGTCACAGCCAGCCCGAGGCAGCCCGAGGTCAGCTGTTGACGTAGTACGTAACAGCAATTGACAAGTCTAGCCGTCTCGACGTCGTTCAACTCACGACGGAATTGATGATGTCGATCGTTCCCTTCGTCGATTGAAAAAGCGCGTCCCGATCTTAATTAACAAAGAAAATTCTTGCACGACCTACTCTTGTCACGTCGCTTTTTAACAAATTCTGTCGACCGATCGTACACAACCACTGTCAAATGTCTGATATCGCTCAACGTAATCATGTATATACATATATATATATACAACATTATCGCGACTCACGACATGAAATTGCCGGAATTGCGATTTGGCGATCGTTCATTGGTCCAAGATTACAAACTCCCACTCGTGCACGCCTTATGCAAGAGTTGTGCCGAGTTTTCAAGACTGCTGCGTTCCAAAAAGCACCAAGTGCAAGCACTTTCTGCGAAATCTTAAAGCGATTTATAATTGCGTAAATGTAGTGTAAAGTTATAAGAATTGACCAATCACACTTCAATATGAGAAGAATAGCCAACTGTGATTGATAAATTTTCACAATTACTACTACTTACAACAGTTACAACTACGCTTACGCAATTATAAAATAAGCTTTAAATTAAGCTTTAAAGCTTAATATACATCGAATGATGATTGAAAAAATATAGGACATTTTAATGAACGTGTGAGAAATCTAATAATTTTTATTTTCAATTCATAATTTTGTAACATAGAAATATGATTTTATTTGGCTTAATTTAAATGCGTTTACGAAACAAATATGGCGGTTTTCAGGAGGGAATCAGGGAGAAATCAAATTTAACGGATTTTCTTTTCTCTCAGCTGCTCTCAGCTCTCAGCTGCTTTCAGCAGTCTCAGTTGTACACTGTGCACAAGTGTGTGGTATATACGTGAATAAAATGTATGTATTAAAAATTTCTTTTTATTTTATACATCAAATTAAGATTCTGTAATACAAAGAATTTTACAAAAAAAAAAGGAATATTTTTATTCATGTTACAGGATTCCATCGAAACCTAGAAGAAGTGAATCTAGACGGTCATCGGTAAGTATATATCTATTCATATGACTTATAACTTTTCTACCCTATTTTTTAAATTAAAGAGTTATCTATTTTTTAACAATGTATATTATTTTTATTAAAAATTAATAATTTTTAATAAAAATTATGTTGGTAGATTCTTAAACCATGTAAACCACGGCAACCATTACAAAATGTAAATTTTGATTCTTCGTCCAATGAAAACAGTCCAACTTCATCAAAAAACAAGAGACGTGTTAGTTTTGCGGAGAAAAAACATGTCAAGTAAGTAGTAATTTAGTAATGCTTGGTTACAATTTGTTGCTCAAATCTTATTTTATTCTGTGCAGAGAATTTTGTCATTCTACTGAACAAGGTACTGTATGGGATAGTACATATGAAGAACAGGATTCTACTTTAAAAGGATCTTTTGTAATTGATCAGAATGTTGAAGGTGAAATGATAGAAAATATATTACATGTCTCTATAATAATGACTGTATACATATTTGTTCTAAAAATAGTTTGTGTTATCCAAATAATACTTATTTAAAATAATAGAAAATATGTTAAGAAGGATTACGAGCCAAAATTAATGTACATAATTACATATTACATTAAACAAATTTAATGTACATAATAAGATACAAATAACATTAAAATAAATAAAAATAAGAATATGCCTATCTTAAATTAATATTTTCAATGTTATTTGTATCTATTATGTACATTAAATTTATTATTTTGGCTCGTAGCTCTTCTTAACATATTTTCTTTTATTTTAATTATTTGAGTCATATTATATATATTATGTATTTTAATAGGTACCTATTTAGTTCATAATCAACTACCGCAAGGATCTATCACAATAGCCAATGAAGAAAATAATGATACAAACTGTAATTTAGGTTTTACTACAGTACTAAATAAATCTTGTATATCTAATGATTTGGTATCAAGTAATTTGGATACAAAATATATGCAGTTGTCTGATGAAGAATCTCAATTTGGACAAATTATAGTAACAGATACATCTAAAAATATAAAATCAAACAACATTACGATATATAGAGATTCTGATGAAGAAGACTGTGAAGATAATGTTGCCAAGAAATATCCTTCCGAGTTCTATTCTAATAATGTTGACTCTGAATTAGACAAAACACGTATTCAAGATTTCTCTATGGAGCTAACAGCACCAATATCTACATTTTTAGTATCTTCAGATTTACAAGAAGGTAACGAAAATAATAATAACATAAATAATTCAAAAATCAATACTACTAATTATAATCGTGTATCAATGAAATATATTATTAATTGTAATAATGTATCAATGAACGTTATCGAGGCTGTACCAATATTTGCGAACTCTGTTGTTTCTAATTTAGGAATTTTCGAACAAATTTCCGACAATATTACAAAACTGTGAACATATGAAATGAAATGCTACAAATACTCATAATACACTATTTCCAACAAATTTACAATGTAACATTATTTCTGAGAGATTTCTGAATATATACCAGATGTAAGATATGCCAACGACTTAATGTATTAACATCTAGTACAACCATTTACATTCCATTGATACATGATTACAATGTAGTATTTGTTTTTGAATTACTTATGTTTTTGTTACAGATGCTGATATATGTCATACAAATAATACAATTTTCGATACTTCAATGGAAATGACTATGGCATCATCTAAAATGAATGAAAAGGTCAATAATGAAATTACAGTCAAAGAAAGAGCTCTGATAAAGGATCAAACTGATAAAACTGAGATTTTTAATGATGTACTGATGGAAATGACAAAACCTCTAGGTACCACATTGTTTTCAAATGTTTGCAATAAGGAGAATATTAATGTGGATGAACCAATATATTTAGATGATAGAACTATGTTTTTCCATAATGTATCTATGGAAATGACCAAGGCAGTGTCGACAAGAAACGAACAAGAAATTACTGATAGAATTATTTGCAAATCATCTGAAGAAAATACAGGTAGTAAAAAGGATATAAATAAATCGGACTGTTTTAATGAAAAAACACTAACATTATGCAAGTCTATGGAATTTACTGAAATTCTACCAGTTCCCTCATACCAAGAGAAAATGTTTCATGCTGCACACATTGCTCACTCAAACAAAAATACATGTGAAATAGAAAAAAACGATCAAACTAAATTTTTCGATGATGCATCAATGGAAATAACAAAGTCATTAAGTGTAGCACCTTTAAACATTGACAAAGCGAATTTAAAAATTGATGAATTAATATCAAAAAATGATAAAACTATACTCTTCCCTGATGTGTCCATAGAAATGACTACAGCGATATCAAGAAAAGAAATTACTCAACCAATTTGTAAATCAATATCTAAAGAGAATACACATGAAGAAAAAAATAGGAATGATTCAATTTGCTTTAATGAAAGAACCAAATTGTTATGTAAATCTATGGAATTTACCGAAGTCGTCCCAATCTCTTTGCACGAGATAATATTTAGTACTACTGATACTACTCATACTACACAGTCCGTATCATTTTCTCAAACGTTGTCAAAAACAATCTCAATACCAACTGAAAATTTCGCGAGAGTATCATGTCAAACTGATGTAGTTGCAAATAAAACCATTCAAGATATATCAATGGAAATAACTACTGCAGTACCATCAACATTATATCTTACACAAGATGTGAAAGTAAATGAAACAGAGAATTTAATCATTTCTAAAAATGATGAGTTCCAACATTTAATGACAAATAATAATCTAACAGAATTAAGGAGAGATGTAACAAAAGAAAATTTTACAATTCCAAGGGAAATTATAGAAGCAGAAAATATTAGACACGATGAATTGTCTAACATTTCCATTACTCAATCTCCACTGAATAATTCATTAAGTACAAACTCAAAAAATGCCAGCGGTAAAAAAAGAATGTCTGATGACAATGAAAAATCATATTCAAAACGAGTTCGCAATTCTTTTATGGAAATTCAGTCTTCTCAAGTATCTTTAAGTGATGTACATTCATTTTCTAGTACTGGCGCTAACTATGTAAATGATTTAAATGATATTGAACAAAAACATAATGATTCTGTAAAGGAAACAATAGATCATACACAGATATCTGATTCAAATCTTAGGAATAGTCTAGACGAGATTAGTAAATATAGTTTTTCAAGAAAAAGTTTAACACATCTGAAAGATAGTTTCGAAGAATTACAATCAATTAAACCACCATCGTTCGTACATTTAGACAGCGAGGAAGAAAGCTCTTTCTACGAAATTCAACATGAATTTCAGTCATCGACCATCACTGATATACCAATAAATAATACTTCTAACCAATTAATAGTAAATAATGTGACAGAATACAACTGTCCAACAAATTCGAAAGAAAACGATTATTTCACAATTTTAAGAGAAAAAGAGGAATCAAGAAATACTGAGAACAATCAAACAGAAGATCGCCACGAAAATACTATAATGAATAAAGCTGAAGATAATCAGGAAATTGATTGCCAAGTGATAATAAAGACAATTATCAATGACAATCAACTTAATAAATCAAATTATCATACGACAAAGAATATTAATGAGAAAACCGTACTATCAATGAATGCTAAGGATGAGAAAATTGTAATAGTACAAGATCTTAATCATTCCACATCATTATCAAAGAAATTGAAGTAGCTGGTAAAATCTGAATATTGTCCTTGCTCTTTAATATTATTCTGTAATTTTGCGTCTTTAGTTTCTTTTTTCTTCCGAATATATTTTTTTTTTATTTTTGATCACCAGCTACTTCAATTTCTTTGATAATGATTGATGTGAAATGATTAAGATGTTGTACTGTTATAGGAAACAAAAAAACGTAGTGATCATCTCGAAGGCACAAGAGTAATAAATGAAGAGCAAATAAATCCTGAAAAACATAAAATAAATTTAAATGATGAAGTGAAACAACAAAATATGAGACAGAAAGACAAATGTGGAACAGAAGGACTCGTAACAACATATAATGTTAGCCCGACTAACGAAGACGTTAAAAACGAAGATCCATTTGTAATATTATTGCAAAAATTAGAAACGCATGCCGCAGGGTACATATATATTTTTAATATATTTTATTATTGAAAAGGAATTAAAGAGACCTAATGTTATTTTGTTGCAGGGACGATATTATTTGGAACATATATTATAAGAATGTTAACAGGAAAATGATCGTTTTTGGTTTCATAGCAAATTCATTATTGATAGCGACATTTTTATCATATGATTTTAATGACTCTGAGAAAAATTTAATTAAAGAAATCAAGATTATTTCCCGCCTTGCAGGTAATTATGCAAATATTAAGTTAAAAAATAAAGTTACGATATTTTAATTTGTTTTTTTTAATAGATGATTCAGGAGTATTCTCAAAGATAGTTCATAAATTAATTCTGGAGAAAATAAATGCGGAATTACTTACAAGTTCGTATAGAACTCATCAGGACATCCTTCCAATGTTAAATTTTATTTCAGAAGATGTAAAACTAGCGATGAATTTCAAGTTTGATTTGAGGCGTTTGGATGATTTAAATTTAATGGAGATTACTAATGACGAGTAATAATTTACATCAAATTATATCATACTGTTACATACATAATATTATTATTTAAAATGTAGTCAATATGTACACCGATTTGACACGAAATTATGATAATCTATTTATTTCAGAATTTCATTTACATCTCGAAGCAAACGGTTGGATATTATACTGGAAGTTACGATTAAAATTAAACGATTTGATAAACTTACTTCAAATGATATCAACTGTTATTGTATACTAGGTAGACTAAAGTAAGTTTAGATAGTTTAGATAGTTTGAATATTTATTTGAAAATTCGATATTATTTTTTTCTGTTTTTTTTTATAGGGAAACAGACATTAAAAAATTAATTAAAAATGTAAAAAGAGACCACAAATTTTTACGGAGATATATGAATGATGTTAAGGATTACATCGATATAATGGAAGAGACTTTTAAATAATTTAATGATTGAAAATGAAAAGTTTCCAATTGATCTTCTAAAGTATTGATGACTTTTTCATAATAGAAGTAAGTTAGAAATGTAATAAATAAATTTGTTAATATTTTGAATAATCGTGCAATCATTCACATTCGGAAAGTACTCGATCATAATAAATTTTTTATCTTCGTTACTATTATATGTATAAATAAATATAAAATATTTTTTTATAAAATTATTTGATACATGATAAAAAACAAAAATAAAATAATAAAATATATAATTATACAAAAATGTTTATAAAAATTTTTTATGAAAACTTTGTATAAATTTTAATGATGTAATGCACTTTCATGCTTCTTATATTTTACTATAGCGTAATTGCATCGTGAGCAAGTTAAATTGTAAAACACAAAAGTCAATTAACTTCCAGTGCAGCTGGTTCAGAAAACGCAACTTTTTATGCAAGTACACAAACAATGGATAGTATATCGACGAAACGATCGTCTTTCACGGAATTATACGATTTTCCGTCGCGATCTTGAAAAACGCTGTTCACGATTAAATATTAGTAATGGACTTTAATCGTGGGCTCAATTTATTGCAAATCGACTTTATTATAGTTATCATCTTCACTTCGATCCTCTTTCGCGCGCACGTGATTAATTCTTTAAAATTAATTTTATAATAATTTACTTTTTTATTATCTTAGTCAAATTAATCTTGTTTTTATGAGAACACGATATTAAAAATAAGGTAATACTAATTTATAATAATGGTATAAAATGTAATCTGACTTGAATATCAATTTTTTTAAATATCCACTAGATTAAATTTTCCTTATATGAGAATCGTTTTTTTTTTTGGTCGTTATGCAATAAAATTTAATCATTGTCGGTTGTGCTATCATGAGTTATTTTTCTGCTGCTACGTAAGGAACTTTCGCCATTTTCATTAGAGAGTCAATTAAGAAAATTCTTATAAAATTACGAGAATAATTTCACAATAAATAAATTTTCAAATGCTAATTTTTAAATGCGATATTCGATTTCTGGCGTATTATAAACATCTTTGTTAAAGAAGTTGGACTTTCTTTCACCGCGACTGTGCCAGTCTCTTGTTGCAGCGTGGGCGTAGAGGCCCGGTTTTACGTGATTTCGTAACGACGATGGCAAACAGATTTCCAGTATCAAAAGGCATTTCGTGAGGATCCTGAAGACCTTCGAAGTCCCCTACTACCCCACCTACTCTCTCTTTTTTTTCTCTTTCTCACCGGCTTCTGCTTCATCTTCTCTCGAGTTCTCATGCATACGAAAACAACACATGCAAAGATCATTTGGTGCTACTTTTTATACAGTGCATGGATTAAATAATTAAAGAAAAAGACTTGTTACTTCGTGGAAGTGGAAAAAATATGACCCACACAAAGTTGTTTCCTTATTAGACGAATTAAAAAGATTAAGATTTTCTTAATTTTCTCCTTATTTGATAAATCAATTGATTTTTTAATATTCTTAGAGTATGAGTTTTTGATATTCCAAAGATCAAGATTTTCAAAATATTTATATTTAAAAAAATACATCGGATCCTCTATTTGCTTTTTCTATTCGCTCCTCTTTTTTTCCAGTGATTCACACGATATATCGTCGACGTTGTCATTCTCGTTCTTTTCGTTGTCGTCAATGGTGACGATACCTGCTCCAGCTCCGGTGGAGTCAGTACGGAAAGCGCGACTATGGCAAGTGGGCGTAAGAGCCGGGAGAGAGAACGTCGTCCTGTGTTCCATACATGGCTATGCTATGTGGAAACCAAGAGACACAGAGACGGACGGACCGACATGGACCGGGGGAGTCCCCACCGTGTGGACGGTGGAGGCGACGCGACGGTTTCTCGTCTCTCGAAGCGATTGCCGAGCATGCTCTTGACGCATAGTGCTTCGAAGCACACATATCGTACGATCATCTTACTTACTATTATTGTTCGCGCGTTCATGTCACCGCGCTCAAGTTTTCTTCGCACATGCGGTACCAATTTTCCACATGATTCGACAAAACGTCGGACGAATTATGCATTATGTATATGTGTGACAGTGTATATCCTGGTGAACGCATTTCAAACATCATCGTTGAATGCTGAGATCGTCAACTTTGTGCTATAAGAAGCGATTCCTTGGCAAGGCTTGTGATGTACAACAATTATGCGGCGATATCGCGAGGGATAAGGTACTGAGGAGTCGAAATACTGCTAAACGTGACAACTTAGTAGAACATAAGCAGGAAGAAACTCGCAGACTCTTGAAGAAGGGATATGGTGACAGAAAACGTCTAAGGATCCTTGAAGATTATTCTTCATTAATATAGCACAATGCACTCGCCGCAAATACTTGACCGGCGTGGGTGCTACTGGGTTCCTCCTCCGCTTTAAGACCGAGGTCAGGTGTGGGAGGGTGCAAGGGTTGGCAACACGCTCGAGGAGACTGACATATTATATATTAGAGGTACGTACTCTCTCTTTAGCGTTCTCTAACTATATAATATAGTCCACCATCTCCGTCGTAGAATATACATCTGTCTTTCCTGCGTGCATACAAGAATATTTTTATTTAATATGTTTATTTTCTTTCTATAAAATAAAGACATACCTTTTTATATTTTATATCCTTATGGGCTATTAGACGCAATGCGAAAGAATACAAATATTTGCAATATAAATAGTTTTTGTACAAGAGCGAAACTTCTGCGATACATATATTTATGTCCAAAAATAATAATAATAATAATAATAAATTCATCTTTTCGCGAATTTTCTTTTTATGAAACTATCTTTTTCCGCCAAGGATTCTTTTTTCAAATTTATCAAAATTCTCCACCATCTTCTTCGTAGGATGTTGATACATTAATATCTCATTCATAATTTCCATCGGATTTAATGGATTGGATTTAAGAGTAAGTCTTCGATGTAGCGACAGCACCTTCTCTACGGCTTTCCGGATAAAATCCAGAGGGACCCCAAGAGACATTTTGGCCAAACAGGAGACATCGATATTGCGATCAACGCCGTGATATTTCATTAATAGATTCTTATAGAACATATAAAGTGTGTTATAATCGGTAGTGGGTACCCTTATAAATTTATTGTAGAACCTGATGAAAGCGGCTGTCGCCTTATGAGGTTCTGCAGACAGCGAGAGAAATAATATCTGTTGAAAATGAATTTGTCATATTAATAATATGAAAATCAGATTTTATTTATGTATGCTGGATATTCTTTCATTTGTATAATTATTTTAATAAATCTCATAATTTTTATATTTTAATTCAATCTTACACAAATTGAAAGTCGGAATAAAATATCCACTTTTCAAGTATCAATCTACCTTCTATAATATTACGCCAGTGAGTAACAGTATCTGTCCGGAATTTTTAACACTCTAAATCCTACGTTAACTCGCCGCCACCTACGTCCTCATACGGCAACCATATATACAGGTAGGAGGTGTTTCATTGATGAGCAACCTCGAGCGACCGAGATGAAAGATTTGAACGGCATAAGAGAAAGAGAAAGAGAGTTCAGTATATGTGGACTCGTCTGAGGTGGCGGCGATTCATTCATATTGAAGAAAGATCTCAAACAGGAATAACAAGAATTTTACAAAGTGGGCGTTGTTCGATTGCGTACATGCTTTGATATAGTCCTCCAATTTAGGAGTGTCACTCCGCGTTCTCACGATATATATATATATATATATATTTTTTTTTTCCTAATGTCAAAAGATCTTTAAACATTATAGTGCAAAGCGCAAGCTGAGAGTACAATATTGACAGAGCAGTTGCGTTATTACAGATAATTAATAAAAAGTAAATCACACGACAAAATAAAAAGAATTACCAAGAGAATAAAAGAAAATTATTTGCCAATTTCTTTGTAGCTTTACCTGGTCGCCTTTTTTAATGTCTTTCATTAGTTTATTAAAATATTTGGTGAATCGTTTGGGTTGAAGATACTTTTCCTCTGGTGGAACTTTTTTCAGCCATGGTTTTTCGCCAGCATCGAGAAATATGATGGAAGGTGCATAAAAACGAGCCACTTTAGAAATTATATTGATGAGTCTCTTTTCCTCGCCTATATATTTATTAGCTAAAACAGATGCTGATACGTCGAAAAGTAATGCGCCGATCTAGGAAAATTCAAAGAGATACATAGACATAAATACATAGACGGAGGAATACAGTCTACTACTTTAATTTATGATATTATCATTGTATTACAAAGAATTGAAAAACTATTGTATGTTATATTATATATATATATATATGTAACATATTTTGAATATCTTTTGACGTAATGATTAACATGAGAAGATACATAATCAAGACAAAGATCACCTCTGAGCAGATGGCATTCGCAAGCGAGGTCTTTCCGGTTCCTGGTAATCCATAGATGCACACAGAACGCACGAGCGGTGCAAGTTGATGTGTCTCCTTGGAAATTAAAGGCAATATGCAATACTCTAAGACGAGCTGCTTTACTTCTCCGAGTCGATGCTTGTGATCCCGGAGCTCGCGACGTGCCTCGTAATTTTGATAGGATAGATCACCAAACCAATCGCGTAAAAAAATAGTTTGGTAATTCCTAATGATTTCAGCTTGTAGAAGCTCGCTAAAGAGATCCTCGATGGCCACATCCTCCAAAATGTCTTTCTTCTTTTTAATTCTGATCCTTTCTGTCAATAATTAATCAAAATTCAAATTTTTGTTTAAATAATAAGTGCAAAAGTTTTAATTATTAAGTTGTATCGATTACTTTTAGCCTTCTTGGGTTTATCTTTTCCAAGATCCTTCAACAATGCCATATTTAGTAATTCCAGTTCGGCCCTCATCAATTCATCTACTATCTCCCTCATTTCAAGCTGCAACTCATAACAAAGTTTCTCAGTGATTAAATCCAAATATTCTTGTTCCAAATATGTTTCGTCACGAAAGCTCCAATTTCGAATGAACTCGTTGTTTGCTTCCTCTAAGCAGGACAAATTCTTTGTTTGCGGCATTTTCCAATGAACAACTTCGGCCTTGATAACTTCAGGTTTGGGAGATCTCTCTTTTTCCTTGGCTTTTTTCTCCTTTTTTAATTTTTCTATTAAATATTCCTCTGGCGTCAAGGTCTGTCCAGTTATAATCAATACACTACCACCCAAATTCGCAGCTGGAAACACATCGTAAAATCCTAATGCGTTGTACCAAATGACGAACCATTCATGAATTTCGTCAGTGATATCCTCCATTAATCCCGGACCTCTGATTTTCAGGAGCTTTTGGGAATTAATTGTTTTTTAATCTTATACATTTATTATTTTTTAACTTATTATCTTTCTCTTGTATCATTTTTTCTTTTACAATAATGCAATATAAATCACGAATTCTGTTTGAAAAATTTACCTTTGTACGTTCGTCACTCATTGCCTTCTTCATGCGTACATCGAACACGGGTATCAGAGCACGTTGTCGCTGAAAGTTGTCATCGTCCTCTGCGATTGTCTTGTTGCATTGCCAGCTTGGTATTGTCATACCCAAAGCTTCTTCGAGACGTGCAATTCGTTTTTTCGTAGCTTTTCTAGCGACATGACGCCGCCATGCACGTTGTATCGTTACTGCTGATTTGATGTATGTAGCGTAATCTATTTCTTTCGGTATTATTTCTCCGAATCTTAATTTTCTGTTGTAATCGAATATACGTTTCACTGAAAAATTAGCATCAATCATAATTAATAATAGGCAAACGTAATAATAAATGTTATAATAGATATATCATATTCAATACCGTTTTCTTTCATATGAGAATGTCCCACTTGAAAAATTTTATTCTAATGAAATTATTTATTTATTTTTTTTTGCGAATATACCATCTACACCGTAGACGCGTCCCTTTCTGGCTCTCTCATGACTCTGTATCAATAATATTGCGTTACGCATAGTTTCTTCAGCAGCAAGTTTCGCTTCTCGGGCGGCTTTTTCCAATGGCGATTCGATTAACTCTACTTGCGTTGGTGGTGCGATGCGCACTTTTCGTCGAGCGCGTTTCTTCAACGTCTCATCTTCCACTTCGGGCTCAATCTGTATAACAGAGAGCCGGAGTTCTGTCGGCTGTGGTACTAGATAGTTAAATTTCAAAAATATATTTAAACTTTTAAATTAAATTTTTAAACGTAAATTGTTGTATTAATTACTTCAACATTTTAATAAAATTGTATTATCAATTTAAAAAAAACGATGAATCGATTGCAAACCTTTGTGAGCACTCTCTATCAACTCTTCAATAAACTTTCTGCGTTCCTCTATACGTTCTCGACCAGACACTGATGCAAATAGCTCGATGTCGTCTGGCGTGAATTTCATTTGATTCAAAATATCGTCAGGCCATCTGTGTGAAGACAATATTTATTAAAGCATATAAATATTAGAGCATATAAATTGATGAATGAGCAAAGAAAAACGTACTGATAAGCTGTACCATCCAGTGTCACAATTTCCTTTTTATATTCTAGCATACGCCCGATGGCACAATCTAACATCTTCTTAATTAATTCCCGTTTCTGTGTCTGGACCATTTGATCATAACAAATGAGGAGTTTTCTTACGATATTACGATATCTATACAAATATTAATTTAAATGATTAATGATTTCATAAGAAAAGATTTTAGTAGCATATCGTGTATTATTTATACCACAGTTAAATTAATAAAATAATTAAATTTTTTATTATATACACATACGCGAGATGTTTTTATAGAATTAATTCGAACACATGCCTCAAATATATAGATAACGCTGAATGTAAAGCAGCATTGTTTTTTGGTGCCTTTTTTTGCAATCCTCTTTCGAGTTCTAACAGTTTTTCTAAGTCGCTTCTCGTGATAAGCCATAACTCGTGAGAATAAACGTGAGACATTGAATTTAAATATGCTTTTCATTGATATTGTAGAATTTTATTATTTATCCTCGAGAAATTTGGAACTTGAGTCATTTCTAAATCATGGTTAGAGAGAGAGAGTGACTGGCGTTTTAAGAATGAATTTGCGTGCATTAACTAAAAACAAAATCGAAATATTTTATTTTACAGTATTACTTATTGTGTCAGAAAAAGAAATCTTTTTCTATGATAAAAATATCATAAACGCAATATACCTATTAAACATCTCTTTTCAGAATGCCGAAATTATTTCGAGACTTACTCATCTTAACATTGATAATGACAGCGTCATGTCTCGACGCAACAGAGGACAATGTCACAACGACAATGGAGTCGATTACATTGATGGCAACATCGATGATTACATTCATAAAGACGACGACCACCGAAGAAAATGCATTGTTGCCGTTGGCGACTATGACAACGCAAGACAATGGCATCCCGAAAAATCTATCCCACGCATCATCATCACCATCATCATCATCATCACCATCATCACCATCGCCATCACCATCGCCGTCGCCGTCATCGTCGCCCTCATCGTCATCGTCATCTTTCTCTGACACTGTGTGGGAATGTCCAAATATCACAAAAGCAGGCGTGGAATGTTCTTGTGACTTTCCACATACACTCAGATGTGCCGGTGATAGAACGGCACTGCAGGTAATTAATTTTAACAACAGGCCATCATATATTAATATATATATATATATATATAAAATAGTATAATTTAACGCCTAACTGGCGAAATTAATTAATTCCAAAATAATTGTTAAGACTTATAAATTTTCCTCGGGAAAAATTAAAAAAAAATTAAACAAAAAGGTGAATCGTAAACTCAATCTCTAATATATATATGCGCTTCACAACACAATCAAGATCGACTTATATATTTACTTTTTAAATAACAGTCAAGAAAGTGTGGCTAGTATAGACTGCCAATGGAATACAAATTGTACAATATTATTATTCAAGAATCCATTGTGCCTTCTCTTTTTATTCCTTTTCTTTCTCGGTTGCTTGATCTCTCTTATTTCATATTACTCGATAGCACCTGTTGTTTTATATATTAGCACAGCGAGTAGTCCTGCTGCTCAGTTATGTTTATTAGTATTGTATTTACAATGCTTTAAATAATTTTTTAAATAAATCTATAGAAGAAATACAAAATCAAAAGATGTAATGAATATCAATTTTGAAATAAACAACAGAAAGAATAATAAAATTACTTTTATGTCTCTATTGATCCTCTTAGACTATCAGCGAACATTTGAAACACAGTCAACCGGACACAATATCATTGCTGGATGTGACTGTGACAGGAATTTCTGAGTTGCCGGCACATTTCCTCGAAGATGTCGCACTTCATGGATTAGTTGTCTCCACCGGAGAGTTGCGATACGTTCATGATAACGCATTTACAGCCCTGGCGCGACCATTACAAGCGTTAGGACTGCCCAGCAATCTCCTAGCTTCAGTTCCCACAATCGCATTATCACATCTAGTCGGTCTGGACCGATTGGATCTATCTCATAATAAATTAAAAACATTAGAAGCGGACTCATTCAAGGTATGATTACGAGAAATAAAAATATTTTATATATATATATATATATATATATATATATGAATTCTTTTTGTAAGAAAGAGAACAATATATGAAAAGTTTTGAGGAGATTGATTCTAAGAGTAATAAAATATTCTGTTTCAGGGACTGTCAAATTTGACTTATCTAGACTTGTGTGACAATCTACTATCACAATTGTCGCCGCAGGTTTTTTTAACATTGCCAGCATTACGTTCGTTAAGAATGCGTGGAAATCGCCTGAGTGTTTCCGCCTTGTCCGCGTTGAGAGGTCTGAAGCGCTTGGAAGAATTAGATCTTTCGAACAATTTATTGCTGGGTCCGATGGGTCCCAATCTATTGCCACAAATGCCCAAATTACATTTCCTTACAGTCTCAGAAAACAGTCTCGTCAATGTCCAACAAGGAGCTCTCATGGGGCTTAGAAATCTTACTTATCTCAGTTTGAGTCACAATCAAGTGAGTGCATTCGTTTAAAAGTTTATAAATTAGAGAGAAATCCCGTTTAAAATAATATAAAAAGATTAATTACATCAAAATTATTTTATTTAAATTATTAAATGTTGATTTGCAGATTGATGTATTAGAGGATCATTCGTTTAAGTACTTATCGACTTTAACACGATTGGATCTGGCAAACAACCGTATCGTCGCCGTGTCTAGCGCTTCCTTAGCTCATTTAGAAAAATTAATGTATTTAGATTTAACGCACAATTTTCTGCGTGCATTGACGGCCGATTTGGTGGTGCCATTGAAAAGTTTACAAGATCTACGATTGGATGACAATGATATCACAATTGTAGCTAACGATGTGCTAACATCAAAGCTGCGCCTCAAGAAGCTCTCTCTCGCCGACAATCCGTTAAATTGTGATTGTACCTTGCTGGAGTTTGCTAATTGGCTGGCAAACTCCAGCCTAACAGAAGAGGACAAGTCATCGGCAGTGTGCGCGACACCACCTGCCTTGGAGAATGGTATCCTAATGCAAGTACCGCCGGGCAGTCTACTTTGCGGCGAGCCCACACCACCCATGATGACCCGGGAACATCCGGCAGGTACACAACTAAGTCTTAAAGAATTTCACTACGATGAATCAACCGGTATCAATTTATTGTGGCATGTGGAGCAGTGCGCTGAACGTTATACTTGCGATTCGCTTATCGTCTACGAAACAATTGACGATAACGAGATTCAAACAGAGTCCAGCCCGTTACATTGTGATTCCCGGATGATGCGAGATCCCTGCATTTTACCGGTCACCATACCAGCCTCTCTACATCTACAATTGCATCACAAATATCGTTATTGTGTAGTTTTATTGATACCCAACGTTTATGATGATGTATCCCTTGGTCTAGGTTGTAGCGACGTCATCGTTTTAGAAAAGACTCAGCAGCGAATAGCGACGAAAGATCAATACGCGAAAGAAGGGAATTCTCGTTCTGCAACATCTACGCAAATATCTCTTGATTCCTATTCACGGATCACTAGTGTACACGTAAATGTATCTGATGATAAAAGCTATTTGCACATCGATGTAATTCTTTCCAAAACAAAAGACACGATTATTGATTCATCATCAACCTGCCAATTATCAATCTTCGTATTCAACGAGATCTCCGTAGTACATCGACAGAGACTTAATTGTAGCTCCGCATCCGTCATCGATGTGGATGTATCATTGCCGGGTTATTACAGGGTGTGCGCCAGTTTGGATGAACTCACCAATATTATTGTGATGTCTGGTAATTTGGTAGATGATCGCGAGAGGTTCCGTTGCGTTGAATTAGTCGAGCAGAGTTACAGCAGGTGGAACATTGAAATATTCATTATTATGGTCGTGATCGCTGTTACCGGTGTTCTCCTTGTTCTCCTTGCCATACTCGGCAGAAATCTTGTAAGACGTCTGCGACATCCAAGGATACAGGCTCAATGCTTTTTGCCGGCCCAAGAGTTTGAAATTACTCATAAAGCTCATTATATTAAACTCTTAGCGACGACAAAAGTTTAATAAGGAAGGTATTGATGACGACATTGTTTTTAGAATTCAAGATTCCGAATTTAAAAATTCAGAAATGGAGATATATAAGCAAAATTGGCACATTTTCTCTTCCTCTCTGATGAAATATTAAATTAAGTATGTAATTTTATTCTACACTTTACAAACTGCATTATTTCTGTAAACAAGAATTACTTGTAGCAAAAACTAACTTCAGCGTACTTAGTTATTTGAAAATGTTTATTTTTAATTCTAACATGTTTAATTAAAATTTTACTTTTCTAATTCTGAAACGAGAAGGAAGATATAATTTATTCACGTTCTGTACATAAACAAGATGTTTTTTTAACATTGTTAAAAATCTTGCAAAATGGACAATGTAAGTTTTGCCTTTATATGTCTCGAATTCATTTTCACAGATTGATTTAAATAAATACACAGTAGACTATACATAACGAGTGAATCTATATCGGAATGTTATAAAAAGTAATATGATTGAAGATTATTTAGTATACTTAAATACTTTAAATAATTAATTTTTACAAAATTTTTATGTCTCAATATATATAATATATATATATATTTTTTTTTTAATTTAGTATAGAAACAGAACACACATACAATAGTGTTTAACCCTGAGGGAAGGTATCTTCTCATTTTGTAATATACACACACACATCACACATATACATATAATGTACTAATTAATTTTTTGATGTTATACATGCTGTAAATATGTTATTTTTTTATCGTTTTTAATATCCGCAAACATAGCGTATACTATTGTACAGTAATAAATACATATATAATTACTATACAATATAATATTATATCTTGCAATTATTTCGGTTTGTTTACTAAATATCGAGAGTACTTTTCACAAGCAATGATTGAGAGTATATATAAATAAACATTTATTTAATATATCTTTGGACTAACTTGTTTATCTTTCCTTTCTAATAAATGTAGAATAAATAAATAATGTTTTTTGAAATATCACCTCACATGTAAGAATACATTATCATTGTTGCGATCAGCTGAAGTTGTTTGTAATCTTTAGGCGGAAATTTTTAAAATAAACATATAGCGTCACCTTCAAGAGAATGATTCAAACATTTACGGGATACTCTCGTCAGTGATAATCGCAAATTTTTAATTGTCGATAATGTCATCGTTCTTCAATTATCCTCGAATAATTAAAGAATATTTCATTTTATTTTTCATCATAGTTTCTCTTTTACGCCTAATGCTGGCGCTGTGTACATGCGCCATGTGTTATATGTAAAGCTGGAAACATAATGAAAAGCATAGGCAATAAGAACAGGAAATAACAAATTTCAACCTATCAGAAATCATAATGGTGTAGCCACAATAGAAGGAATAAGGAGTAACGATTCCAACCTATCAGAAATCGTATATTCCCGTGTAACTGATTTCTGATAGATTGAAATCTTTATTTCTTATTCCTAATTCCTTATTCCTTCTATTATGGCTGCACCTTAATTGCATTTTATGTACACTATGCAAGCAAGACGTTGACCACCTGTATGCAGGATGTACATTGTTTGAAATACAGAAAAGAATAATTCTTTTTTTTTTATCTATCAGTATCAAAATTTTTATTTGTCATCGTTAAAAGTGCCTTATCAAATAATTTTAAAAAATTATAAATTTTATTAATAAATTAATATTTATTTCTAAAATTATCAGTTATATTGACACATTTTATATTATTAGTGCTACCATAATTTTAAGTTACTAAATTGTACAATTACGATGGACAAGAACGATAAATTGCAGATATTGAAAAATGCTATAAAAAGTTATCCTGACTTTCCCGAACCTGGAATCATTTTTCGGTAAGTGGATAAGAAGAGTTTAAAATTAACAAAAAGTCAAAGATTAATTTCATTCTACTGTATACGTATTTATTATATTATATAAATTATTTACTTTCAGAGACATATTTGGCGTATTTAATAATATCACAGCATTACGAGCAATGAAAGATTTAATTATGGAGCATATTTTATTTCTCGAAGTCGATTTAGTTGTAGGATTGGATTCACGTGGCTTCCTCTTCGGTCCTATAATTTCTATAGAATTGGATAAACCTTTTTTGCCCATTAGAAAAAAGGGTAAACTTCCAGGCAAAGTCATACAACAGAAGTATACATTAGAATATGGAGAAGTATGTCTTAAATCTAACCAATATTGATTATGTATCAATTACTTTCTATATATAAATAAATTGCCTTTATTTGCGCAGGCCACGTTTGAATTACAAACAGAATTTATTAATAAAGGAACTAGAGTGCTAATTGTTGACGATTTATTGGCAACTGGAGGTAAAATAAAATTACATTACATTACATTACATTACATTACAATGAATTATGTATTATTTTAGTATGTATCAATAAGAGTAACATAAATAAATATTTATTATTTAAAGGTACTATGGCTGCAGCAGTGCAATTAATAAAATCAACAGGTGCTGATGTAATTGAATGTATAGTAATAATGGAATTAACTTTGTTGAAAGGTCGAGATAAGGTCGGTGTTCCTGTTCATTCTTTCATTCAATATGATCATTAGCAAATTATATATATATATTTGCAAGTATAAATATTCGAATAATACAGATAATCAATGTAAAATTATGTACTTTTAACAATACCACAAGATGCAGATATATTTTTAGATTATGTATTTTTGTCACATAAAAATATATTTCTATACATAATGTATATACCTATATAAGTATATGTATACAGGGTGTGCTCAATCTATGGGATTCGCATGAGCAGATAAAGTGAACTGAAATGAGTCAAAAAGCTGCTTCTGCCTACTCATGAGAAAGGATCCTATAGATCGGGAACACCCTATATATGTATATATGTATGTGTATATTTGTGTGTGTGTATATCATGCATATAATTTGTTATGTATTGCCTATTATATAATGTAAAATTTATAAATATGATTTATTAAAAAGTATACAAATAAATTTCATCAAGAAATGTATATAATTATGATATAATTAAAATATATTTCTACTGTACAATTGTATTAAAATTGTATTTTGCTAAAACTCTTAGCAACTGTAATTAATATCCATCCTCGAGCTATCTTAGCGAATCTAAGAAATTTTGTACTTCACATTCAAGCTTTGTTACATCTTGTTGTAATTTTTTATAATTTCTTGAATTAGCATCTTCATTCGAAACTATTTCTTCTACAATCTTGCAATTATTACATTCTTGTTTCCTTTTAGATTTTTTATCGGAATTTTTATACAAATGAAAACAGAATTTTTCTTTTTCTGCATATGGTAACAAGGTCTGCCATTTCCAATTTAAATTGTTAATATGTTCTTGAAAGCATTTCTGTACCTCTGAAATATGAGTAATTAATTATTTCTTTGCAATATTTACAATTTGACTAAATTTATGAAATTAGTGAAATTAGGATGTTACTGAAAATATAAGAAATTAAAGAAAAAAAATATAGATTGAGTATATTTTACCATTTATTCTTGCTTCATGAATTTGCTTTGCAAAAGCTTCAGTCTCTGCATATAATCTTCTCTTTTCAAAATCTGCAACCCTACAATTGTATTCTTGCAAATTTTGTTCTTGCATTTTTAATTTTTCTAAATCTGCAAGATTTTCAGTAAGAAATTTAGGATATTCTGATATAAATGAAGGATAGGGTCCGCTATGATTTAATTGTAATAGCTTATCCCTGAAATAATTTTAAATATTAATATTAACATATATATGTAATCAGTTTTTATAATATTAAAATGTATTACCTCAAATAATAATTAGGATGTATTCGTTTTGATATCTTCTGATCTAGTTTTCTCGCGATCTTTAACAAATCTTTGGCTCTAATATGACTTTGAGTGTTATAAAACGCTTTGACATCTTCAGATGACTTTAATAAAGAAATTATATTTTCTTTCAAAAAAATATTGTACGCAACAACACACATCAATAACAGAGAAGGTTTTTGGAAAGATATTAAATGATCCCACAAAATCAACCACTCGTCTCCTGACAATACTTCGCTCATTGCAGTTTGAAGTAATGGCCATGCATATTCTCTACTTGTGATTCCATGTTCGCAAAAGATGTTCAATAATATAGGATCAGCTTCTAGAAGGATATTCTCAATAATCCCCAAAATATTCAATGGTGGTAAAGGATGGTATTCAAACCACTTTTGGCAATAATTTATTAGTATACTTAAAATTAACTCAAAGGCAAGTAAGGGATCTTTCTGAAACAAATAAATATATCTTACTTTGCATTTTAAGCTAAACAAAATATCTAAAATAAAATAAGAAGATACCTGAAATGTCATAAGAAATGGAAAAATTAAGTTGGGAAGAAATAGACACTGTATTAGAAGAGGACACCATTGCAACAAGCAATCTATTGTCATGGCTAACAACGATGCTTTACTTTTATCTGCCAAGGGAAGACTTCTTAAAGTGTTCAATGCAAATCTTTCACGTGTTACCTTGCTTGTTAAGGCAATATATGCGTTTTTATTAGCTGGTAATTTTAAAATAGTGGACCAAATTAATGTACGATATTTCTCTGGATATTCTCCAAATTCTTTCAAAATAGGCATCAATCGTTTCGTATTTAATTCTTGCTTCATACTTTGTCTAACGCATTCCAAATGATCACTTATTTTATGCGCATGTACTCTATATGGTTTTAACAATCCGTTAGGTTGAAGACATTTTTTTGAAATTATTTTGTCTGTATGCATTATGTTTAAACATTCTTCCTGATCTATGTATGCTATATATCTACCAGTAGATGAAATTACAAATTTTTTAATCCTATCAATAAAGATAGGTATCTCAAGAAAGGTTAATGCATTTATGTCACAAAATTGAAGCATGTTTTTTGAAGATAGAAATGCAAGGATTTTATTTGCTCCACCATCTAATGGACATGGAACGACAGATAATTGTTTTGCTTCAACAAAATTATTAGGCAAACAAAGTTTCCTTAATAAACTCCAATCATATGTATTAAGAATGCTTATGTTTCTTGTACCACCCATTATCATAGCTCTTCCATCTTTCGTAAAAATAAAATCTTTGATATAACGTATCCCAAATATCTTTGTATCGATTTTAGTATCCTTATGCAACTGTCTCAATGTCCAAGCCTGCATAGTGTCATTGTGATATAACACGACGATATGACCCACATTGGAGAAGGCTGCTTTCTTGATAGCGTTCTTTACCCTAACATTTAATTGATGAACTTTATTATAAGAGTTTAGGTCCCATATTATTACTTCGTTTCGAGAGCTTGTCAGACAATGATGTTTATAAAAGGAAACATGTGTTGGTGCTAATTTGTGACCGGATAACAAGGAAAACTCATTAATATCTGCACAAAGCTTCCAAATCTTTATGTCACCCGTATCAAGTCCTATCAATATTTCCTCTGTACATATGGGATTAAATATTAGAAAGGTAGGTCGCCCGATTTTTCCTAATATTTTGTAACATGGAACATCTCCAGGCAATTCAATGTAATGTAAGTATCCTTTGGTGTCTCCTACAATCAGATATTCTTCGTCGTGATTGAAAGACATTTGTATAAGACAATATTTTTTCTTGACATTTGTAGGTGCATATTTGTAACAGTCATTACTTTTAATTAATTTATTCCAGCCACTATTATACATAATACAAACACGTAATCATGAGCAAAAGTCAAATACAATTATCGTGATTTCTTCAAAGATCTTTTTGAATATATATTTGTTTTATAAATTGTATATTTTCATAAATTGTTCACTTTTCTTTTTCAATTCTGCAAAATAACATTTGTCTCAGATTAAATGTAATATATTTTTTATGCAATATGTGACAATTTATATCTACTTGTCTATGTCAATAGCAATCAATAGCGTCAGATAAATAATTTTTCACACTGACACTGACAGAAACCGGTACATTTAGAAACCTAACCTAACAGTATCGATACAATGTATTACCATCTATGTAATTACCTTTATAGTGTGTAGGATTAAGCCCTGTGTACAATAGAATGAATAAGGAATTAGGAATAAAGAATAAATGATTCTAATCTATCAGAAATTGGATACATCGGAATACACGGTTTCTGATAAGTTGAAATCGTTAATTCTTTATTCCTAATTCCTTATTCCTTCTATTGTGTGCAAGGCCTTACACATGCGTTCCAAAACTCGTCGAAAAATAGCAGTGTTTTAATCTGTGTGTCCATCCGTCGGTTTAATTATTTAACTTTATTTCTCTCTAGTTACCGGGTGTTGTCGAGTGGTAGATAACACAGAATCTAATAAAAAATGGTAATAGACATTATTAAATAACAAAGATACAGTTTTTTGTTATTTCTAATATAAATGTTATTTTGCCGTAATGTGAAAGGTATAAAATAAGTTTGGCGAATACCTTCTCAGTGTACGCGATATTCGATGGCGTTTTGACGATGATAGTCTCGTATCAATTTAATCGCCTAAAAGTCTTTTTTTTATGTGAATAATCTCAAATTTAGCAGTCAACAGATCGTCTACTTATAATGGTGAGAAAGGTCCAAATGTATAAATAATTGCTATCTTATTTTTTTATACACATATTTGTAAAATACTCTGGATTTTGTAAGCGCGTGCAAGGAATGTTTATAATGAATAATACATATTTCAAAGTCTCAAATGTTCTTAACGTCTTTTACTGAATTTTATCTTTTCCGTAATACTTTCCCTAAATGTAATATTATCGAATCTTGCTTCTATAAGGTTTGTATGAATATTTCTTTGTAGTCTGTTGCTGAATTTTTAAAAGGCCTTCCGTCACATGATGAAAATAATTTCGCAAATTTTCATACTGATAATGGAAATCGGACATGTGTCAAGAGGCCATCAGTTTATCTTCCTACTAAGGATTATCCTTCCGAACAAAGTAAGTACATATATTGTAGTATATGAATGATATTTTAATGTAATTAGCTTCTTTATTTTTACAGTCATAGTTACTGAGAAAACTACCATTTTATTGAGGTATCTTCATCAACAATGGGATAAAAAGGTAAAGGAGCAGTTAGAACATATATACTGCATATATATATAGCTGCAAATGATAGGGACTATGAAAATTTTTAGAATACTAGTTTGCGTGTATGTTAAGCAGTATAATGTAATAAATAGGAATGTTATCTTCTTAAATAATATTCATGTAAAATAAAAGGATAGTATAATCAATTTTTAATTTGGAAAAAATGATTGAGTCTGAATTGAGCAAAATTATGAAATTCTTAACTTAAAAAACAAAAAACATTGTAATAAAACTAGTATTCTTTTCATATCGATAATTAATAGGTCTGTCTTTATTGTAAAAAAAATTACCTTAATCATTTTATTAGATAAACTCATATTTGGTTTGTTAAAGAATTTTAATCTTCAGGATTGTATGATACATAAAATTGTGATTTTCACTTTGTTAAGATCATTGTTGCTTTCCATTTTGTATATAGTTTTGTAAGTTTTTCAAACGCATTTTCTATAAGATTTAAGTATATATTTTAGCTTTAAAATAATTTACAATATGACTTATTGTCTGTGTTATTGTGCTTAAATATGTAATTTTTTCTATTACTGTTTTGGAAATAATTCTATAATTAATTATATTTCAAGTATTATTAAATTTCCAGCCATATCTATTTATAGAGTTCCAAATTTTTTATCATATTGACAGATCAAAATTTTTTTTAGACACCATGAAAATACTATTTCCAATCATTAGAATTATTTAAATATATATATTTTTTATTAATGAATATGATATATCTGTATATTCTTTTGGTCTGTGAAGATAATAGAATAAATCGTAATGTATTTTATGATTTCGTTATTTTATAATTAATTTTCCTTAAATTTACATATAGAAATTTCTAAATAATATTGACATTTTATTTGACATTTTGAATTCTTTTCCTTCATTTATATAATATAGACACAAAGACATTCACGATGTAGCAAGGTGCCTTATCATTTGATTCAACAGTGTATTAATAATTAATAATATTACACACAAGTATATTGCTAAACATTTTTATTATATAATTTTTTACGGATATTTTTAATCACAAATATGAAACTCTATAGAATGCAGATAGAAAGAGAGAATTTTTGTCTACCAATGGTGATTCTCAGGATGATGCATCTACAGTACGCAGTAAAAGGCCACGTCTCGATTTAAATAACAGTCTTTAAAATATGTTACTTTTTCATATGAAAATATTGGATAATTAATGATTTATACACGATATAAATTAATTATTCCTATGGACATGTTGATGGATATTACACAAGGGTACATCATTGATTAAACTTACAAAAGTAAAATATGTCCTTTTTGACAATATTTTTTAGTAAATTAATTTTTTTTTATTCTGATTTTGTTAAAAAATTTAAACAAAATATGATGAAACGATGTGCTTCATACGTTTATATCGTGATATATTTTTAATATCCACTTTTTTTATGCCATCTAAATTGTTAAATCATTGTATTAAATATTACTTCACATAGAAATTGTAATTGAAACGGCAATTGTACTATATTTAAATATTGTTTATATTCTTTCCTTCCAAGAAATTATTTATTTTTTTTCATATAAATTATTTATTAGAAAAATGAAACTTATTTAAAAGAAATAGTATACATGTGTATGTAAAAACAAGCAAGTCATTACTATTTCAAATTTTTAAAGCATTTATCTCGTTTTAAGAAACTTATAAATTTTTTACAGTATTTATTATATTATTTGATCTATTGCCAACTAAATTATATATAATTATATATTATGTAATTAATTATAATTAGTTAACAATAATAAATATGTAATAATTGTATTAAAGGAATTATAATTAATTTCAAATAAATTGTTTGTATGTATGAGTTATAGAGATTATTTCGTGTGTTGCAATAAAAACTTATAAAACTTATATAATGAAATATCATATTTCTTGTATGTTATTGGCTGGTATTCATGGTTTGTTCTTACTTTTAAGACCATCTTAAGTAATTACAATTGGTTTATGACATCTTCAGATTGTCCTTAAGACAGTTTTAAATATAAGAA